AAAAGCTGTAAACTGCCCCAGAATTAAATTCATGATGTAGTTGATAAAGTTTAAAAAAAATCTACATGTAGTGAATGAAATAAAATAAAAATAAAAAAACAAACTAAGTAATAAACAAACACAACAGAAAACTATTTTTTTTATATCAGAGTTGAATAATTTACCAGTTTGAGGAGAAAATTGACCTTTTTAGACTGGAGCTCCTGTGACCTGTCTACAGGGCTGGCATCAGTATATCAATCTACCCTGAGGCAACTGACAAGTGGGCTCCAGGACCAGAATAGTGTGGAGACATCTCCTTGCGCAGCACTTTCCCCTGGGCTCAGTCCTGACTTAAGAGTCCTGAGAACAGTTCTCACGTTTTAAGTCTTGTATGGTTTCTCGCGCAGTTGCAAAGGGCTTGCGAGCTGAAGCTTCACTTGATTAATTTATTAGTCAAGGAGTTGCCACCTGTTGCATCACAAATAAATGCACAGATCGTTGCTTTGACTTTCATTTAAAAAAAAGATTCTGACGGTAATAAGTAAATAAATAGAAAACAAGGGTGGAGCTTTAGAAGGGAAAACTTGAATCCTTAAGAACATCCCAAAAAGTGAAACATACGCTTTTCACCTTGAGGAGCTCCTCAATCCCACCTACGCGCATTCCGAGGAGGAACCAGAGCCAGGAGACCTAGGGATGGACTGTCCAATCTCGGGGGCAGAAGTTGCTGAGTTAGTCAAACAACTAAACAGCGGCGGAGCCCCGGGGGGCGGATGAGGTTCGTCCTGGGTATCTCGAGGCTATGGATGTTGTAGGGCTGTCATGGTTGACACGTCTCTGCAACATTGCATGGTCATCGGGGGCAGTTCCTGTGGAGTGGCAGACCGGGGTGGTGGTCCCCATCTTTAAGAAGGGTGACCTGAGGGTGTGTTCCAACTATAGGGAAATCACACTCCTCAGCCTCCCTGGAAAGGTCTACTCCAAGGTACTGGAGAGGAGGGTCAGATCGATAGTTGAATCTCAGATTGAGGGGGAGCAATGTGGTTTTCGTCCTGGCCGTGGAACTGTGGACCAGCTCTATACCCTTGCAAGGGTGATGGAGGGGGCATGGGAGTTTGCACAACCAATCCACATGTGTTTTGTGGATTTGGAGAAGGCTTATGACCATGTCCCCAGGGGCACCTGTAGGGGATGCTCCAGGAGTATGGGGTGGGTGGCTTTCTGTTAAGGGCCATTCAGTTCCTTTACCAGAGGAGCGTGAGTTTGGTCCGCATAGCCGGTAGTAAGTCAGACCTGTTCCCGGTGAGGGTTGGACTCCGCCAGGGCTGCCTTTTGTCACCGGTTCTGTTCATTACCTTTATGGACAGAATTTCTAGACGCAGCCGTGGTGTGGAGTGTGTCCAGTTTGGTGGCAGGAGAATCTCGTCTCTGCTTTTTGCAGATGATGTGGTCCTCCTTGCTTTATCCAGCTCTGACCTTCAGCTCTCACTGGGTAGGTTCGTGGCCGAGTGTGAAGCGGCTGGGATGAGGATCAGCACCTCCAAATCTGAGACCATGGTTCTCGACTGGAAAGGGTGGCTTGCCAACTCCGGGTCGGGGGAGAGGTCCTACCTCAAGTGGAGGAGTATAAGCATCTCGGGGTCTTGTTCACGAGTGAGGGTAGGAGGGATCGGGAGATTGACAGGCGGATTGGTTCAGCGTCTGCAGTGATGCGGACGCTGAGCCGATCTGTCGTGGTGAAGAGGGAGCTGAGCCAGAAAGCCAGGCTCTCGATTTACCGGTCGATCTACATCCCAATCCTCACCTATGGTCATGAGATTTGGGTAATGACCGAAAGAACAAGATCACGGATACAAGCGGCTAAAATGAGTTTCCTCCGTAGGGTGGCCGGGCTCAGCCTTAGAGATAGGGTGAGGAGCTCGGACATTCGGGAGGGGCTCGGAGTAGAACCACTGCTCCTCCGGATCGAAAGGAGCCAGTTGAGGTGGTTTGGGCATCTGGTCAGGATGCCTCCGTGGGGAGGTGGTTCGGGCATGTCATGCCGGCAGGAGGCCCCCGGGTCGACCCAGGACACGTTGGAGAGGTTACATCTCCAATCTGGTCCGGGAACGCCTTGGGGTCCTGCTGGAGGAACTGGTGAAGAAGGCCGGGAAGAGGACGGTCTGGAGCTCCCTAGTTGGGATGCTGCCCCCGCGACCCGGACCCGGATAAGCGGAGGAAGACAACGCTTTTCACCTCATTAATGTTCATTCGCTCAAACCATAAATTCATCTCTTCAAAACATAATGTAAAACCCAGTCAAAAATTACACAATTAACGAGTAAAGAAAATCAGTTAAAAAAATGTGTTTCTGCTACTCACCATTAAAAAAAAAGTTTATATCTCCATATTTTTGTGAGGACAGCAACTAAATAAAACTCTAAAATAAATTTTAAGTAACTGACTTGTGCTTTTCTGAAAAGTTTGTTTCTCAAATTTGAGTTAAGTGTTTTGGATACATTTTGTTTTTAATAAAAATAAAAAGAATAAAGGAGCAATGCAAAAGCATCACCACAGGCTAAATTCTGCCAGTTACCACAAGGATCAAATTGGTGTGCCACCCCAAAATTTTCTTTGACCCCATCTGGCCACCCTTATCAATAATTTCTGGGGGCACCCTTGTCTACAGCAAAAACAAATCAGCAAAAAAAAAGCTGATTTGGGAGTGACTTGCTCATTTTAGAATGGCTGTGCACATCCAACCGAGGAGACCCAAAGGAAGACCCTGGACACGCTAGAGAAGGGGTCACCAACTCCAGTCCTCGAGGGCTACCATCCTGCATGTTAGGTGTTTCTTTGCTCCTACACACCTGATTAAAATGAATGAGTAATTAACAGGCTTGTGCATTGTTAAGGAGAGGATTCAATTACTCCATTCAGGTGTGGTTGAGCAGGAAACACAGAAAACTAGCAGGATGGTAGCCTTGAAGGACTGGAGTTTGACACCTGCGCTAAAGGGACGATGTTTCTCGGCTGGCCTGGGGACACCTTAGGATTCCCCCGGAGGAGCTGGTCCTAGTGGCTGGGGAGAGGGAAGTCTGGGCCTCCCTGCTTAAGATGCTATACCCCACGACCCAACTCAGATGAGCAGAGGAAAACGGATAGATGGGTGGGCTGTAGTGAGTGAAAAAGTAGCTGCATTCACACGTCACATATACAAAACTCTACAATGTCTCAGGTCTGTTCATTTGAATATAACTGTTTATTCAATAAAAACATATAAAAATGACAACAAAAAAACAGGTTGCAAGATATAAAATTTTCCACTTTGTACAAAGCTTCCAAAGCCATTAACAGAGATGCATGCTCACTCTACACGACGGGTTTGAGATCAGGGAAATGGGATTAAAACAAATGTTGACTCCTTCCAAAATACAGCTAGAAACATCTTTTAATTTTTTGTCTTTTGTACAAAAACAGCATCGGTTCAGTAAAAAAACAAACACCCAGTAGGCTAATGGGCACAGAATACACACGACTTGTAATTCAACAACAGAATCACAAGTTAATGAAATATTCACAGTGTTGTCTTCACATCAGCGATGTGATTGTAAACATTGTTGCATATCATCATTCCTCTTAATAAATATACACAAAGTCTCACAACATGCAAAAGAGGGTGTGAATAGTTTGTAATCTCGGATCAGTTTTATTGAATTATAGCTCATCGATAACATCCGGTCACGTTTAAAAGTTATAAAAATAAGGCAAAGATTGTATTCCCTGTTGGTGTTAAGTGGAGTGGAGGAGGATTCTCTCATCTGATGACATCACGAAGAGGAATTTACATCCTAACATTCTTATTAAACTATATATGAAGACTTAACAGATTTCAAACAAACAGTGAGACAGAGAACCGGTGTGAAACAGGAAATTAGCTGCAAATAAACCTTTCCTTTAAATCATTCATGTAGATTGATGAAACAGATGGAAATTTCTGTATTAAGCTGGAGTTAAATAAAGGAATACAATTGAAACATTGTGTGTTGTTAAGGAGAACCATCACAGATAAAAACATTCTTATAAACCGATGTTATCATGTCAGATCTGTCAGAAAATATAACATTATGTAGCTTAATACTGCTTTTATAAAGCAGGTCTTTCATTTAATCTGATTGTCAAAGTTGAACAACATCCTAAAACGCACTGTCATCCATTCTTTATCAAAAATATAGTACAATAATTCATCATTGCTTCATTTAGAAAATCACAAAGGAACAAGTTCAACACAGTAACGTATCTGGACTCCTGAAGGTTTCCAGTGTCCGGGACTGTAGTGCTGCTCTCTGCTCAGAATAAATGCTATTTGGTTTTTGTTTTAAAGGAATCTGTAGAAGGGGAGGAAAAAGAACAGAACAAGTTTAGAAAACACTCATTAAACAACATTTAATCTTTTTGAAGCTAGCAGCACAGGTTTAGGCATGCATCACAGCATGTGCTGCCACAGGCAGGAGGAAAGTTCAGGCAGGTGAGCAATGAGAGGTGGAAAAAAGAAGGGGAAAGAGGAGCAAGGGCAGGCAGCGTAACGGACCGCGTTCAGCTGCTACAGCAGAGCTGAGCTGGAGTCAGAGTCTGAGCCGTGGTCAGGGGGGATGCAGGGATCACGGGACATCTGAGCCCGCCTGTACTCTTGGTACTCCAGACGAAGAGCGTTGAAGCGCGCTTCGCTTAGCGAGTGGCTGAACTTGCACCGAGGAGGGTAGGAAACTGGTGGGCTGACTGAGGGAGACAGGCCTGGGGAGGCATGAGGGACAGGAAGGGCAAGGATGGGAAAGTCATGGGACAAGATCACAAAACCACAGCACAAGGACATGAGAGAAACACGTGCAGCACGGTCACATCCAGCATTACACCAAAGTACATGCAATAAAAATACATAAATGATCACCTTTCCGTTGCTGGTCCCGGACGCCACCGGCTCGGTCACATCCCAGGTCCCCCCTGCCTCTGGGACAACCTGCTTGCGACTGACCAGAGCTGGTGGCCTCCAGGACCTCCGGGTCCACACATGCTTCAGCTGAGTCCCACTCATAACTCTCATCTACTGATGTGTTCCTTCTAGTGAGATACACAAAAACCCATCAGACAACTCGTACCGTTGACATGAAACAAAAACATCAAACTGAAAGTTATTTTGGCAACATAAATGGATCCTACTGCAGAGAGGAGGATGCTCCTTAGTGTTTGTACTTCCACATGTGGTGGCGTTTCACCTTTTCACTCTCCGCTGAGGCAGCTCCATCTCAACTCGATAACGCTCGTTTTCCTCTGTGGTTTCCGGGGAGCTGAGCAGCGTGGGGGTGATGGACAGGGACTGTCGAAAGAGACCGGCACTGCCTCTGCCGCTGCTCTGACTGGCGTAACTGGCCCTGCCCCCATCCCTGATCTCATAGTCCCCACCTCTACTCATCATCCTGTCTGAATGTCTGTAGCCTCCGTCCTCTCTGGGTGGGAAAGGAGTGTAATAAGGTGAGGGCCAGCTGACGCCCCTGGGCAGGTAGGACCTAGGAGGGCCTCTCCTGGGGTCTACGGGTCCCAGGCTTTCTCCTCTGGGATCTGGCCAATGTTGGTAGTGGGGGAGAGGAATAGAAGAGGGCATGTGGACATACTGAGGGTGGACAGGCCTCAGAGGGTCTTGATAAGTGGGAGACCACGTGGAGGATTCTGGGAAAACAGTGGCTTGCCGTCGTGGGTCTGAGGGCTCCATCATTGGGGACACTGAGGTTTGTCTGTGTGGGTACATGGCTGGAGTGAGGTAGGAAGGGCTGTGATGAGGCCTCTCTAAGCTCCCCATGCTGGGACGCCTAACTGGGACGTACTCTCTCCAGCAAGGGCCTGGCATGGGGAGGGAAGATGGGGTGCGTCCCAAACTGTAGGACTTCATCCTGACATCTGGGCTTGGAAACTCATCCCAGTAGCATTTCTCAGAAATGTATTTTCTTGGGATCTCAAAGTGCTCCCACCTCTGAGAGCCCAGGCTGATGGATTTCTTAAGGAAAGGACGTGGCTGTCCCATGCCTGAGAGAGTCCTACAGGGGCCCAGGCTTAAGGATTTCTTTAGGAATGGCACAGGGACTTGATTTATTCGTGACACAATGTTATTAGTCCTGCTTCCCTGAGAAGCTTGTCTTTGGGGTTGCTCTGATGAAAACGAACTCTTGTCTGAAAAACTCAGGGAGTGTTTGGACACAATGTCCGCCATGCCTTTAGCTGCACTCAATAAGGTATGGGGTGACCTGGATCCAAGTTTGGACTCGGGCCTGCCTGTGGTATTATTCCCAGCTCTGATTTTTGTTTTCTCATCATAAAGCTGCCTGCTTGTTTTTTCCAGCCCAGGTGAGGATGGTCTGGTGTCATCAGGAAATCTTACCCTGGTTTCCACATGAGAGGACCATCTAGTTCCTGTTTTTTTGCTAGCATCAAAGCTGCTCTCTGTCTGCTCCCGGCTGGAGGACGTTTCTGGGCTTTCCTGAACATGAACCTCCCAGTTTTTAGGGACAACATCTGGTTTGACCACTACGGATTCTTTTGATTCAGAACTCGTTCCAGTAGAATCCATCTCTTGAACCTCTTCCACAGGCTCATCCACGCTCATCTCAATGAAACCCGGAAGGCTCAGATATTCCAGAATTGCACTTGTCTGGTTTGGGGACATTTTAGGGGATGGAGCTACAGGCTTGGTCTTGAAAGAGTTGGACACTCCTGGGACAGAAAACTGAGACAGGTCACTCTCAACCTCTTCTACGAGAGTTAAAGTCGAGACGGGACTAGGATTATCAGGGAACAGACATTTGTCGCTCCTCCGGGAACGTGTTCGGATGCCTTCTCTCTCTAAATCGGAGTAAATCTTTGAACCGGATTGGTCATCCCTGCTCAGAGACTCTCTGTCTTTGGCCTTTGCAGCTTCTTCACCACGCTCACAGAGTAAGTCAGAAGAACTAGACTCACTCGGATCCCTTTTGTTTTTGTGGCCTGCTTCTGAAGCTCTCCCAGTCTGGCTGAATGGTGCAGACGATGAACTTCCAGGCCTCTCGTCCCAGAGCCGGGTGCCTGAATCAGCAGATATATTCCTGGATCTAGAAACACCTCCATCGTGTGTCGTCTCCCTTGAGTTCTGCTCAGTTTTGGACTTCACGCTCGCACCTGTATTTTTCTGAAGAGCTGGAGACTTAGCTCTGTCTGTTGTATCGAGACACAGAACGGGGGGGTCAGAGGTCACATCAGGGGAGAGTGTGGGGAGAGAGGTGTTCTGCGTGGCTGGAGATTGTGATGAATCCACAGACAGAGACCCCTCAGTGGTTTCTCTGAATGGCACGGGAGAAGTAGACCGGTGAGGACTCTGAACAGGAATCAGGCTGGTGACAGATGTAACGGGGCTGATGTTCCAATGGATCCGAGCTGTGGGAAGCCTGTCCAGGGGGCTGCTGGTGTTCCCGAAGTAGCAGGCTTTGCGATAGTCAGAAACCCGACTGGTCACACCTGAAGACCTGCTCTTCTGTCTGATGGTGACATCTTGAGGCTTCCACACAGGTTCTTCCTCTGATTTAGACACATTCCTTTGAGGGCTTTCTTTTTTACTAGAGCCATCTTTCCTTGCCAGACCATGCTGTCTTTGATCAGCTGTATAGTTCTTTAACTCCCTCTCGATTTCCTCCCTCTCTTTAGCCAGCTGGGCACACTTGTTAACACTTTCCCTTTCTAACTCACTCTCTAGCTGAGAGACCAGCGTGCTGTCATCAGTCACACCATTCTCCACTGGCTGATAACCTGCTTGATATGACCCGTCTCGGTCTCTGTCTAGAAGCTTTGTTCTCCTTCCTAAACTGCAGATAAGGTCTTCTGTGTAACCTGGTATTTGACACCTCCTGAGAGAATCGCTAGGTTTTTTCTCACTGTTATCAGAATAAAAACTGGCTCTTTCCAAAAGAGTCTCAGATCCTTGTTCATCATCAGAGTAGAAGCAGCCGCGGCGGGAGAAGTTTCTGGCCATGGCCCGTACCCGTCCAGGAGACGCTGGAGGCCTGCTCAACTCCGGTACGTCCACAGTGAGAGGAGAGTCCCTCCTCTCCCCCTTCTCTGAGTTCAGGACGCTCGAATTCGGAGAGTTCCGAAACGACGACGACCTGTTGCTGCCTGACCCGCTCACACTACCATTACATTGTAAGACATCTTTCTTCAGATTCTTCTCGCTGGAGGGGCTCGAACTCTGAGGCAACGGCTGAACAATGAAGCGTCCATCTGGGCCTCGAGAAATGGACTCGAGAGCGGTTGGCGAAGGCGCCTGAGAGCCCAGGTGGCTCTCAAAGAGGGTGTAGTGAGGTGGTGGAGACGAGCTGGACAAAAGTTGTTTCCGCTGATCGTTGTATTCCCCACGGCTGCCTTTGTCATAGGAGGACCGGTTGGACAGTGAGCAGGTGGAGTTGGGAAAGAAGGGAAGAGGTGGACACAGCTTCAACTTGAGGACGCTGTCGGGGCTGCACGGAGGTGAGCGGACTCTGAGGAAGAAGCAGAGACAAAACATACTGTAAAGGTTTGGGGGCTTGTTAAGCCATAGCCATAGAAATGAAACATCAAGAGTAAAGAAAAATGTTAACATCAAAACACTCACTCCTGAGACGGACTCTTCTGGAGCGCAGCGGGCAGGTCTGCAAAAATCAGAGGAAAGCATTTAAAACCTGCAAAATCCAGGTAATTAACCCCCAACAAGAGTTTTATAAGAACAGAACGATCCTGTCTGTTTTACCCCCTCGTCTCTTTCTGCGCCTCTGCTGTCGCCTGTGACTCATGTAGCACGCTGCCACCAACGAGAAGATGATGGCGAGGAACAGGAAGCACACTCCTCCCAACACACCCGCCAATAGCGGCTCAGGGATAACCTCCAGGAAGCTTGGGCGGACGGGGTAAATCTCCATTCCTTTAACCAAAATCAACAGTTACTGAAAATGTTAATTCTAAATAATAATAATGTGTTTGCAGCGATTCAGTAGGAGCAAACGTACCTGCTGTAGAGACACTCACAGACTCGCTCGGTTTGCTAAACACTCTGAAGCTGCGAGACATCAGCCTCAAGTCATACAATGAGTCCTGAGAAAAACAGTTGATGTGTTATTATTTAACTCTTTTCAACTGAAAGAAGCTAACAGTAACTGGGCTTTACCCTGAGCAGTTCCTGTACAACCAGTTCACTCTGATTAGCACTGATGTTGTTGTTGAGGATGACCCACTGACCCTTATCCCTCCGAGCCTGCAGAACAAAACCTGTCAGCGGAGAGACTGGAGCCTCGGGAGGGAACCACTGTAGGACAATGCCCAGTTCAGTCCGGTTAGCTGACAGGAGAGTGGGAGGGTCCAAAAGCACGAGAGGAGTGATCGTTTTCGGTAACTCTGTTGGAACGGCTGAAAAGAGACGATCATATAATTACAAAAGGCCAGCTGGTGTTAAAGCGAATGAGGGAAACAGAACTAAACTCACTCATACAAACCTTTTGTTCGCACTGAGACAATTTCACTAAAAGGTCCTGAGCCAAGTTTGTTCTGAGGTAGGACACTGAACTGATAGCCGGTGCCTGGGAGCAGCCCTGTGACTAGCAGGTAAGTTTTGGATGTGGGGACGGGCAGAGATGCCCATTCGTGTTTTCCTCTGGAGGACTGCTTCACCCTAGAGATGATGAAGGCCGAAGTCAGGTTTCCTGTTGATGGGGGGTAATGTGTCACACTGGGGATAGCTGATGATACTGACCACACTGTGAACTTCTGCGTGAATCCACCATCAAAACCCGGAACCCAAGACACGTTTGCCTGTTTCAGCTCTACTGTGACCGTCACAGAGGACACAACATGAGGACTTGTCCCTGAGCACAAAAACAAGTCAGAAAATCTGAACGTGTGTGAAATATCCTTTTTCAGACAAATTATGTAGAAACAAACTCACCCAGCACAACAACCACAGTGCCCGCACTGACAGTCGCCACACGATTAGTGGCCAGACACTCCCAGCCCCCGTGGTGATCTTTGCTCAGCGGCTGCAGAATGAGGGAGCCGTTAGTCAGCACGACGTATGGCGAACGAGGGGTAGGGCCAATCTGTGGGAAAGGGTCACAAAAACTTGAAGTAGGTCGTAAAATTACCGACAAGGCTCCGTCCCCGACTTAAAAAAAAACCCTAATATACCTTGCTCCAGGTGATGTTAGGAACAGGGTCTCCAATGGCTTCACAGGGGATGATCAACTCCCGGCCTACCTCCTGGAGATACTCTGGTAGAGGATGCACCCGAAATGAAGGTGGGTCCTAAGAGAGAGAGAGGCGGCCTGTTTACATCCTTTCAGTAGGCCAGAAAAGTCTGAGAGCAGAAACTTTACCTGCAAAATGACTCTAGTTGGCTCAGACTGGCCCATGGTGCCATAGCTGTTGTAGGGAGTACAGGTGTACATGCCCACAGCGTTGTCATTGGCTGTGGCTATAAATACCGAACCCTCTGAGTTCACCATCCAACCCGGGAACTAAGAACAAAAATAGAGTTCACAGTGTTGGGAATGTTACTTTTAAAACATAATTAGTTATAGTTACTGATTACTTAGTCAAAAAAGTAACTCAGTTACTTACCAAGTTACAAGATTATAAAAGTAACTAATTACCAAAAAATTAACTATTTTGTTACTTTTTCTCATTAAAGAATGCAAGAAAAATGGGTTAATTAAACTTACTTAATTTACTATAAATTACTACAATACTGGAATATAGATGACTAATGACGGGAACATAATAAAATGTATGTCCAAATGTTTTTTTTAATAAAACTGAATAATTGAAATAAATGGACACTTAAAAGGAGGAACTGCAAACAGGAACATTACACTATGTCACTGTCAGTAACCCTAACCCTGTTTAACAAGACCCCACTCAACTAAGATTTATATAGAAACACCTGTAAAAGTTCCTGAGCTTTTAAAGGTAGTGGCCAGACTCGGCATTAACGTTGTAGAAATTCAGTTTAACTACACTTTGCCATCTATATAAATATGAACTGGGTACAGTTTTTCATTTTGTTAAGGAATTTTGTCATAAATCATTACAGAAAATCAAAACCCTCTCCTCCAGAGAGTGAAGAACTGTGTTCCGCATACGTCACTCCAACACGTAAAACAAGGTAGCTGGTGATGCTAGTATTGTGAATAACTGTATTTTGTTTACTTTCGTGCTCTTAATTATTACGGAAAATTGTGTTTACAGCTGCAGCAAAAGGTCTGAGCCATGTGTCCGTGTCTCACACGCATTTTTAAATAACAGGTATGATCTAAAATAATAACCTACATCTATATATCCATCCAGAACCAGTTAGCATGTGTAGCGACATGAATGGCCTCATTTGTGACCCAAAGGTCACACTTCCTCAGCTGGGTCAAGCTGTCCTGGCTGTACTTCTATCTACAGATTATCCATTACAGGAGACTGAATGTCGGTCTACCATTCCTTTAATCTGACTGCTGTTCCATCCACAAGACGAAGGACACTTCAAGATTTAAAAGAATCATTTTTAATAAACTCTTTTCACTGTCTATTACAATGTTCATAAATAATCATCAAAGTTCATTATAAATGTATTTAATTACTGAAATGAATTATTATTCTTTGGTTAATAATTATTATTATTTATGATAATCAGTCATGTTTAACAGTGACAAGATCATGTGTACTTATACACACCATGCAGGACACAGTAAATCAGGTTGTTAACTGCACTCACATGTCTTTGTCACATGACAACCCAGAACTTTCTATCTTGGGAGGGCGTGGTTTGAGGTATGTTAAATCTACATGTCAAAATCTAATTAGTTAGAATAAGATTACCGGCCGTCTCTTAAAACCTAACTTCTCAGTTCAAGTTCCGTTCTTGAGCTCACCAAAATTCTCTCCGTGGCACGAGAGTCCAAAGGATCGAGTCGGCCGCTCGAAACCTCTACTGATAGAATTGCTTCAACAGAAACGTCATCTGCAACAAGCTGACGCAAAACTCCTTCAGAGTTAATTTTAAGATGCAAACCATCCACCTGTGTGCCTGCGGCAACTCTAGGACCAGAGAGTCGGTACCACTGGTCTACCCTACCGGACCGGGTACCCAGAGGCTGATCAACATCCTCCCTTGACCTCCGGAGCTGAACAGAGGGTCATCTGAACGGTGAGGTAGAACACAAGATTGCGTCTGGAATGCCTGTTTTTTTTAAGAAATAATTTAGCTTAACTGCAAACCAAATTCTTTCACCCAGAACGCGTTTTCTCTCTCTAAGATAAAAACCTTCTGAGCACCTACATTCACACATCCAAACACACACACTTCACTTTTAGTTTAATCCAGACACAGATTGCTTTAATACCAAAGCTTTTATAAATTGTCATTTATGAATTGTCTTTTAAATTGTCATCTTTAAATTGTTAGTAATAAATTCTTAACGTTTTAAACCTGACTCTTCTTTGAAATGAAACACAGAGTGGTGTATATTGATCACTGAATGAGCAAAGATCTCTTTAGATCTTCTGAATTAATAAATAAACTTTTGCTATCAATTTAAATCTCTTAAATTAAATATTAATCTTTTAGACCAAGCCAGTTGGTGTATGAACTTCTATCGATTATATAAATATCCGTGGAGATATATATATATATATATATATATATATATATATATATATATATATATATATATGTAACGTGAGGAAATATGGGTTTTCTGTCACAAAGGTGGTGTTGGACTCAGCTGGGTCAAAGCTGGGTCGCTGAGAACTTTCACCCACAGATTAAGACCTGAACGCCAGCGAGTCTGGGAGGAAACCATAACATCTGCCACCTGCAGTACCAGAAGAAGGAGTTCTCATGGACAAGTAGTCATAACAAGTCAAAACATAAAGTTTAAACTTCCTTTTCTTGTTTTGAATGTTAAAAGTTTAATCATCAATTTGCTCATTATAAATGTGTTTTAATCAAATGAATGACTATTATGCTTTGGGGTAATTATAAGAGATTTAATGAATCCATAATTAGATAATGTTGAGAGTGTTTGTTGCTGACCTTCACACACACTCAAGCACACACACCCACACACAGATTCTCACAGTTAAACTCCAAAACACATTTGCTGACGCACACGTTTGCTTTGAGAAGAGAAAGGCTTTTGGTAAGTTTCAGTCTTATGATTTCAGGTCGTGTTGGACAACGAAAGAGAGTGGACCTGAAAACCAAAGGGGGGGCAGAGCCGGTTGGCTCGTTTCTCCCCCCTCTCACTCTGTTCTTGTCAGCCAGACAGAATAGCTGAATCGCAACTTCTAACGCAGACTCATTACCGAGTCTTTTGATTTCTGAGTGAATTAACTTAAGAAAGCGCATCGACAAAACGCTTTACCATCAACGTGTACCGAGGGCAACTCTGGACCGGTTCCGTTCGACACCTACGTCTCTCCTGTCAGCCGCCGGCGTCATCTGGATGAACCACAACATCCTCCACGGCCCGGATCCGAAAGAGGGTCCACAAGAGTTCGGTGAGACAGAGCACGGTGTTTAGCGTTTGATGCAGTTCTCTGATAAGACCTAAGTTTATCCAAACCATCACTTCACTCAGACACCTGTTCTTCCTGAAGCAAAATCAGATGCACACACGCATTCATCTCACCTCATGTTCAATTCTCACGACACTTTGCACACACACGCATCCATAACCACATCCTATTACTCTCAATCTTCATTCACCAACAGAAGGTCTATTTGAGCAAGAACAGCATATCAACTGTTAAAGATTGTCCCACAAGTTGCCAATTTTGATTGTTATTTCCTGTTTGTCAATTTCAAAATCATTAGTTTAACTTGAAGAATTAAAACTTTTAATTGTCAAACTGGTTTCCTCATTGAACTGAAACACAAACACACAGATATTATCGTCAGTTTATCGATGAAAACAACCTTTGAGTCTTCTTAACAATATAACTGAGTAAAGACAGTTTCTCCTTACAATATGGCTGAGCCAGCCAAATTTCTCTTATATATATATATATATATATATATATATATATATGTAAAGTTTCATTATCAATTCGTTCGATCTTTCTCAGAATTTAACAAAGCTGAATAGCAACAGCTTAAATTCTAGTTGTGTAGATTAACAACGCTACACATGGCTGTAGCAACACTGTTGGCTGTGTTAGCTCTGATAAGGAAAAAAAAACCAAGTCATTTGGGAAAGCTACGACACACACAGATATAATCTAAAAGATGATCCCCATATCAACAACAGATCCTCCATGGACCAGTAGAACTTCTGTGCCATCCTGGATTAGTGAAAACGAGTCAAACAAAGTAGTTACTCCAGCATCAGGAAGATTTATTCTGGTGAGCTATTAGTTATATATTTTCCGGAGTTATGTCAATATACCCATGGAGCGGTAAAACTGGCAGCACACATATCTGTAGATTACTGAATTATATTGGGACACATGACGGAGCTAAGACCAGCTGAGAACTCGTCAGCTTAGAGCTTAACAAAAGAAAACAAACTGTACCAATTTTGGTTCTGAAGATGAAAAGAATCCTCCTTGATGTTCAAATGGGGTTGCGGGTCTTCAGAGTCAAACGGTCTAAAACATGTCTGTACCTCCGGTAGTGATATCCAGCTAGCGGGGTCGGAGTTCGGTTGAACTTCTACGGTAATCCAATATCCGTCCTTGTCGCCGTATCCCAGAACAAAACCTAATCTGACCGAATAGCAGAGGCTTCAGAAGCTACATCTGACACATTGTTCTCTGCTATAACTCTAACGCAAAAACACCGGAGTCAGGGACTGTTTACAATAGCAGTTTCAGCAATCTCCTTGTGAAACGTCACCAGCTGCCCAGGGCCCAGACCGGAAGTTAGTTTCTGTTTTTCCCGCGCCAGAAAAAACATCAGATTTTCTTAAAATTCCAGCCATGAAAATCCCAAAACCTTTTTCATCTGAGGTTTTAATACTTCTTTACACATGCCATTCAAAGGAAATTAGCCTCTGGCTAATATCTTTAAATGGTCTCTCAGTCTAGTTAAATTACTGAAATAAATGTAATTTTGGACAGTATTCTAATGTTTCCAGCTTCACATAATTGTTTGTTTTTAGTAGCATTTATGTTGCTGGTAATCTAGTTAAATAAATAAATACAATTCCTTAAAAATGACACTAGAAGAGGCACAAATCTGATGGAGGACTTAACTTTACTAACTTGGGTCAGACCCAAACACAGAAGAGATGAAGCTCGGCGGTAAAGACACGCAGGTAGTTCTAATAACACCTGAGCACCATGACGTCTGAGACTGATGCAACCAGTGTTACAGCGGGACCAAAGGAATGATCAGAAACAGGTTACAGCTGGATGGTTTAGGAAGGTAGAAGATTGGGACGTCTGAGCGGTGAACAGGTGAGTGGACCTTCGGGAAGTGCTGCTGTCGTGCCAAGAAGGGCACGGCTGCAGATTCATGCCTCCAGCAGTGAATCTGCGAGTCTGCAGCTGTAGACTATTCATCACGTCTTCCTTGCTCTTCACAGGTCGTGATGCGCTTGGATGAAAACATCCCTCTTTAGCTCCAAATTAGCTGATGACAGCATCAACAAACCGCGCTGCTGAATTAGTAACACGTGCGTTTTCTTATCAGTAACAGAAATGGTGTTACGATAAAAGAAGACAATAATTAATTAGATTACTCGTTACTGAAAAAAACTATTTTTTTTAGTAACGCTATTATTTTAAATGGCGTTATTCCCATCACTATTCATTCATGAGATATTGGGGGGACTTATTATGTTAAAGCACTTCACCTACATTGTCAAGATTTAAATTCTTCCCGTCTTTGGTCCAGTTGACATACAGCACAGGAGGATCTGCCTGAACCGGACAGAAAATCTTGCCCTCCATCCCTGCAGGTAGGTAGGTCTCCCGGGGCATTCGTGCAACACGAGCAGGATCTAAAATAAAAGATTGGAAAAACATGATGTTATAGAAAAATTTCACTTATGAAAAATCTGTAAAATAAAGAAGTACAGAAGTAGCAGACTAACGTTTCACTTTCAGATGGGCTGAAGCTGAGGGCGGGCTCAGTATTCCATTAGTGGGGATGCACGTGTAGTTTCCAGCATCTTCTGGGATTAGATTAGGGATCAGAAGAGTTCCATCAACCAAAACCTTCACTCTGGATTTTAAGGACCTGAGGATGTGGAGAGAGATAACAGGAGAGAAAAGAAATGAGACAGAGCAATGCAGTGTTGGAAGTTAATCTGAACAACAATCTCCTTTGTCTCAGGTTCATGGCGGACTCACGGTCACATGATGCAATTGTCTCATGAATAATCTCATTAGAACTGATTGCATTAGCAACACACTTTGAAAAAAAAAACACCTGAATAATCCTTTAAAATATTAAAACCAGTGTTTTTGTAAATACTGTGAAATGTTTATGTGTTGAATGTTTTTAAAAATACGGACTCACTCAATATGGTAAACGTTCTGCCCTTGTTTCATCCACTCATAGGTGAGGTTTGAAGGGTAGGCGTCGGCCTGACACTGTAGAACTGCATCCTGGGTCATGTTCAGGGTGGTGTCCTCAGGGGAAATGATGATGATTGGTGGACCTTTATGGAATCAAAGCACAGATCAGTGTTGTGTCTTTTTTATTTTTATTCTTATTTTTCCTCCCTTTTTATTATCTTTTTAATAATTCACAAACTTTTTTTTGTAGGGTTGGTTAGTTTTAAATCCTTGCAATGTACGAAATGGTCTGTAGGTGGCAGTGTGCACAACCGTATACAAACATGTTTTTAACCTCAGTCATCATCAGACACTAAATCTGAGACATTATGACGGGATTCTGTGTCTCAGCTAGGTATGATGGCTGAACACTGACCTTGGACCTGGATCTGTGTAGAGTGGGTCAGGTTCCCCTCTGTGTTGGACACGTGACATTTATACACCCCTGAAAAATCCTGAGTGATGGAGGCCAGAGACAAGGTACCATTCAGCACCTAAAACGAAGCAAAGAAAAAAGTTTGAAAATCAGGGTATACATGGGAACAAAGGTCATGTAGAGGACCAAAAGGCAGTTTGATCTAAAGAAATCCTCTCTTCTGCTGAGATTTCTGATCAAGTATTGAATGAGAATAATCTGTAAATGTGCCTCACTTTGATTTTCTCGTGTTTTTCAATCAGGTTCTCGTCTTTGTGCCACACAACAGTTGGACGTGGGTTGCCATGAGCTCCACAGCTGAGTGTCAGCGAATCTCCGAGCAGAACCTCCACAAATTTTGGTGGAGTCTTGATGAATACAGGTGGAGCTGGAGCCAACACAGAAAAGGGGAGTAAAAAAAACTTGAAAGATCATCTAAACAACATCGCTGTGTCAACACTGTAAAGGTGCTACTGGGACTGGTCACTGTGAGGTTCAAATCAACAACATTTACTGTAAATCGACCCAAAACACTGAACTCCTTCATAACACTACTGGTTTGCAATAGTTCTCACAAACATATGCAATCCCCAAGCTGGAGAGCTTTCTTTGACTTATGTTACTACTTGAAATGCACCTGCAAAGACAGTTTTTTGGTTTTATTAAATGTATACTCAGGTTAAAATCAAACAAAATCCAATACATTCAAGATCTAATGCAGTTATGGGGTCATTTGTAGCCTGATGATGGGTATGTAGCCCTCTCATTTACTGTACTGTCAATGCCAGTGTGACTTCACTTTACTCTAAACCAGTGCATGTGCACCCGTGGGATGTGATCTGCTTACTTAAAATGCATAATGCATAAAAACTCTCAGCTAGCCAGGGCCGTCAAAGCCAGGCCTCATGCTGTCGCCGTTCTAAAAAAAGGCACTTCCGACCAGGAGTAAACAAAATAGGCAGCTTCCATGCCCTCGCAACCTCGCAGCGTTGCACCTGTGATAGAGAGGAAGGTCCATGTGCCGTTCTGAAAGTCGTCGGTTTTGCTGTCCAGGAGAAGGATGCGACATTCAAACCAGCCCTCATCCTCCAGGGTCAGGCGCTCTACGAGCAGAGAGGCGCCCCGAGTCAGAGACACGCGACCTATGGGAGAAAGGGAGATGGTGAAAAAGTGATAAAAAAACACACCCACACCCACAGAGGCAGACATGCTGAGTCAGCATATGCAGGAAGAGGGCTTATCCTGCAGAGAACACAGGCGTCCATTATCACAAAAGTCACTGCCAAACACATAAAAGGTCCTGCTAAGAGACACAACAGGAATCAGCTGTATTTCTTATGTTTAGAGTAAACACTGGGCCACATAGTTAGCGTTTATGGGGTAGAGGTGTTCAAAACAATAGGAAGTTCAGTGAACATAAGAGGAACTGAAGATGGCGCCGGTGTGTGTGGCACGCCATCTGTCTCACGGACACTCTCCTCTGTACATGTTTATTCCTTTTTTGGTTCTTGCGCTTTGTGTGGACAGTGCATCCCTACTGCTGACTTATGATCGAGCAACGCTTCTGGAACTCTGGTTAGGGTTCATCAGCCCGGTGATTGTGACGAGCCGGGGGGATTTTAGTCCCCCGCGCTCATTTCGGAGCCTCTCGGTGCCACCCGCCCTCCGCGGTGTGAATCCGGTCGTCATCAGCGGAGGAGGCGGCGCCGGCGTCGTGGCTGTCGAGGTGGGAAACATGTGCACCTACGTGCCAAACCGCCCTGGTCCTGGAAGGAGCTCGCCGGCCTGGACGTCTTCTCGTGGCGCCGTCGCGTTTGTTGGATCCTCCACCATCCTGCTTGGTGCCATTGGTGGGCTTCGACTTGGATGCTCTGTCGCAACGTGTATTCCGGGGGTTTTGCTACCGCTGGAAGGGTGCCAACCTGCTAATCTGCGTCATGTGGACTACGTGTGAACTGCGCCCGTGTCTCTGGATTCTGCTGCTACTGGACTAAATACGTTATCGTCGGCTCGCCTCGGCCTGGTTAATGCAAGGTCGGTAATGAACAAAACTTTTATTCTGAAAAACTTCTTTGAGGAACAAGGGCTCGATTTTTTGGGTGTTTGTGAAACCTGGATGCCGATGGTAGACACAAGTGCCCTGTTGGAATTATTACCTGCAGACTGTAGTTGTTTTAATGCGCCAAGAACTGCGGGCAGGGGCGGGGGGCTCCTCATTGTTTATAAATCAGGTTTCAGCTGCAAACAGATTATCCCTTTAAGTCCTTTTTCTAGTTTTGAGGTTTGCTCTTTTGAACTTGGACCTTTTCCTCTACTTTTTGTGACGTTGATTTATCACCCGCCTGGACTGAATGTGGAATTTCTAAAAGATTTTGCTGATTTCTTGGCTATGAATGTGTTGAAATATGATCAGATTTTGATTGTAGGAGATTTGAACATCCATATTTGTTGCCCTGATAAGCCGATGGTCGAGGACTTTTTGCACCTGTTAAGTTCACTGAATCTTTCTCAGTGGGTTAAGGGTCCTACACATGTGAAGGGACACACTCTTGACCTAGTTCTTTCCTCTGGTCTTCAGTCCATTAATGTGGACACGTTGAGGCCTGTTTAGTGTACCAAAAGCCCGGTACACTTTGCATTTATGGTCCGTTGTAAACAAATCTTTTGTCATTAACAGAGTTGTGATAAAAACATTGAACATGAGCATAATTTGCAGAGTGATCGGCCCAGCGACAGCTTATTGAGCACTCTCACAACCAAATCCATCCTCCAACAGTCCAGGAAGTGTATGAAAATCTACGACTTCATTCTGAAAATACACCCAGGGATTGACGTGAAAACCAGTGACAATAGTATAATGCATGAGTACTATTAGCAACAATGGAAACTACATGGAAGAACATGTGGAGCCCTCATCTTTAGAGTTTTGATCTGAGCCTAACAAAAGAGGTGTTAACACTAGAGTGTCTTCCCATTTTCATCATGGCTGTCTTAGGTATCGATCGGTATGATGTATGCTGGTGAGCATGCTTGCAACATTAGCATGTCCTACTAGGGTGAGACTGTGCAGTTTGACTCACTGGAATCTCGGACAGTGTGACATGAAGCTGTCCTTTGTGATGGCTGAAAAACGCACAGCGTGTTCGGGTTTAAAACTAGGGGTGTGAATTGGCAAGAATCTGGCCATGTAATAACATGCACAATACAAGGGAGATGATGCAATAAATTGTGATACTAAAAGCCTAATGATATTTTCAATTTTGATACTGAATTCAATTAGAAACTCAGGCCAGATGCTTCCATGACTCATCTAGTAAGAGATCTCACTGTTCCGTCAGAATGGAGGCAATAAAGACTGCTGCCAACTAGCTGTCAGTGTTAGAACTGCACCACACAGAATAAATATAGTAAATGTTTCCATGTTAATTCTCAATAAGAAAATCAATACATTGGTTTTAAAGTAAGACAAAATAATTTTTAAACTTTACTTAGAGCTTTAACATTGATTTCAGTGATTTTTGAGTTGGAAACTTGACCAGATTCTATGGATGCACATTTTCCAAAATGTCTTTAACGGTTATTGATGCCCCTTAAGGGTTAATAACCGGTTAACCTGAAACCAACCCCCCCCCCCCCCCCCCCCCAAAGTCTCACACTTGTTTCATTTAAGAACAAGAGGTAAAGAGAGTGTGGGATGACAGCTGAAGTATCAGATTCAGAACTTGTTGGGCAGCGGACCGGCTGGCGTCAAATACACAGCGCCGCTTGCGATTGCGTGCGTATAAACGCATTCTGGAGGCCACGCTTTTTAAAAAACACTTTAGCCTCCTTACACTGAACTAAATAATTACACTGATGTTTCTTTATTTTACTAGACAAATTAGGAGTCAGATGCAAGCAGGAGCGCCATAGCTTACTGACCTTTTGCTGGTCTCGGTTCAGTTTACTGCGCCATGTTCTGCCAGGCTCAACACTTTGAAGTGAGGCTTATTGTGTTCCAAGAATGAAATAACTAAGAAGAAACTGCTCCCTCTGGGATTAATAAAGTATTTTTGAATTGAATTTGAATTGAATTGTACTCTTTGCTAACTGCTCTGTGTTTGATCACATTTGTTTATTTGTTTATTCATTAATTTCTTCTTCTGCGGTTGTCCAGTAAACATTTTTGATAGCGGTGCTCCTATACCCTCTAGTGACACGAAATATATTACACCCCAGCGCAGCAGAAGGACATGGAGCAGTTAACCGGGCAAAACTATTTTACCAGGTTACAACATTAACAGCAAGGTCAACTATGTACATCCCTACCAGTTTAATATTTGACACCACTCTGTAGCCCTCTACTGGCCAGATACTGCACTTAACAGTTTTGTGAAGCAGGTAGGTTTTCTAAAGGGGGAGCTTGTTACCTGCTTTTCAGCTGTATGCTGTTATGCTAGCAGTTAGCTTTTTCAGTTTGCAGATCCTCAATTAAAAGCATAAGAAGAAGAAAAATAAGTTTGCTTTTTCTTGGTGGAGCCTAGAAGTAAAAGTAAGACAGTAATGTTTTTTGGAAGTGAAGCAAAGAACTAAAACCAGAGCGAGCATCAATTTGAAGAAGCTAAAGGAGGCTACAAAATCACTGATGGTGCCCTGGCTTTGTTGCTACTGGACTTGTAAGTAATACTATTATTTGTCCAGCAGTGTGAATCTTTTACTTTGTGGTTCTAGTATTAGTTGGCTCATGTTAGTGTTACTTCTTGTTGGCGCTAGCTACGGCAGGGTATTTTACAACTGCCATAATTATACTTTCAACCAGTAGGGCGGAGGAGCAGGAAACTTAGTGTTACTTTAAATACTGATTAAGTATTAAAACACCGAATATTACAATACTTCATGGTATCAATATTTTGTTGCATCCCTACTTAAAACCATGAAACACAGATTCATCCATTCACGCCTAACTGGGCGTTAGACCTTCTTGGCTCTATGTAAAAATGACTGTTGTAACACCAGAAACCAAAGCATGTAGTGCAACAATGCATTTCACAACAATCAGCTTAAAGAATGAGCCTCTGAACCACAGATATCTTGCAGGGGGTAGTTTTGTCTCAAACAATGACATGAAGATATTGAAGGCAGCCAGAACAGATGTTGTTTTACCATTCTTTTATTTCCTACAGTCATTCATTGCATTCTGAATAAAAACTGCTTGATCATGATTTTCTCTTAGATTTTATTCAAAATTATGCCGATTTCATTTTGTTGGAGATGTCACCCGTCCCTGTCTCAGACACTGAGAAGTCAAGGGCCCTGAGGTGGAGCACAAACACATGAATCACTAAGGCAATGGTTAAAATGATATGCAAGAAGACAGATGAAGACGGTGTCCTGTCATCTATGGTTAGGGTGGTGAAGTAGAGACCTAGAATGAGCACGCCAAAAATTCCTGAACACTGATTTATTAAATTACTTAAATAATATATTTGAGTCATTCTTATTTTCATTCAAAGGTTTCCGTCTAAGACGGAAAATCGACAATAGAACGTGAAGAAATTAGTCACTTGTAATGAGGGGCAAAGGAACGAGACAAACAATATGAAGCATGGCAGATGCACACACTGGACTTGTGTGTGATCACTCTCAAACACAGATGGACCCATGCACGAAAGCGCGCATCTATCTCCCAAACACACACACACCCAATAACCCAATAACACAGCTTCCTTTTTCCCCTTTCTGCACTTCTTACAACTTCTTGTCAGGCTTTGAAACTTGATCTGCTTGTTGCCTGGTGACTGCAGCCTGGTTTTTCGGGTACACCCCCTCCTTTTATTCCGTCTCTCAATGAACTCTTTTTTTGGCCCTTCAATCTGAGGGCTTTAAACGACAGGAGGATGCAGGCAGTGGGGGAAAACACACACGATGCTCATTCCAGACCCTGCCAGAGCAGTTTGAAAGTAAACACAGAAATGTGAAGAAGTTCCCAGCATCCTATTGGACATCTTTTGCCTCTTATGTGTTGAAAGGTTTGTGTCTCAATAAATAATCCTAATAATTACATTATTGCTAAATAAATAGACCTTTTGTCTTCCAGCAGAGATTTTGTACATATCATAAATCTAAGTCTCATAAAACCTTCTGAAACCTGGCAAACAACATT